AAATTACTCGATGGATATTACAGGTTAAAATTCGCGTTGAGTGTAATGAAACCGATCACCTTGCTCCAATTACTTACCGACGCTTTTGCCAAAAAAGCTGGGACCAATTTATCAACCGTCCTATCGATTAATACCACCCGGGTTTTCGCGAAACGCTAGGCGAAGGTCTAAATAATTGAGGTGGATATTTTATCGTTGTCCTGTCAGGTTTCCATGAACACGAACACTATTGGAGGTGGACGCGCGGGGAGGGAAGGGTACACGAATCCGGTGAAATTTGGAATCGGGCAAAATCGCCCGAAGGCAATGGCGAAACAAATTTCACCCATTAGCAGCCGACGGAGGATACATGTCACGCCGCGGTTGTCATCAATACAAATATCTGCGCGAGATACCTGTCCATATTCCCGTGCTCCAGCTATGGAATCGCGTGCACGATCCCATACACGGAAAAACCTCTCGAATTTGTTCGATGAAATTCGTACACGCTGACTCTATTCTGGCTATGAATACCGCGAGCCTGATCGTGTTAACCTGACGTCTAAAAACTGGACGATCAGCCAGCACCAACAGTGAAAGCTGTTCACTTGCACAATAGTCCCAATTAATCCCCATTTCCGTGAGTTTTAACATCCACACGGGTAGAGGAACTTTTAACGAGATCACAAGACACGAAACTTGTTATGGGTGTTAAATCTTCAAAGAAAATATCATAATTCTTCCACGATAAATGATAGCTTCCCTAAGAAGAACGAAGTCGAAGTGTCCGGAAAGTTTAATTTCTTCCCATACCTCTCTTTTCTCTCTTATTCCATTCTTTCTTTTACTTTTTCTTTTTTAAGAGTATTAGTTTCCTCTTTTTAAGAATCGAAATCTCGTACTCGAGGCAAGAGTCCGCCTTATTGTTAGTAGATACGAGGGTAACGAGGAGCGCGCGACGGTGCTGCCACTCGCGTAATTGGCAGAACTGCGCGGGGATAAAAACGCGGAGATCTCCCTCTAAAACAGCTGTTACCTGGAGAGCAGATTCCCAGGGCTCTCGTGTCTGCGTCGGACAGAGCGGAGGACACAGCGCGAGAGTGCTCCTGGATTTAAATACAATAACCCGGGGCTATTGTAAAAAATATACACGGTCACGTGCGCGCGACTGCACACCAATGGCCCGGGCCTTATGCATGCGACTCGATCGCTGGTATTTCCACTCGCCAAATAACAAGTATACACTCGGTACCCAATCACGCGTGTTATCCCATATTCCGCTGACCATCCCAGTCCTCTTCGAGGATCCATCGCGTTGATCATCGCGCATGCGCGTGTATGGCGTATTTCCATAACCTAATCGATCGATTTTCCGGTAATTTCGTCCACTCACTGATCGAAAGATTTTTGACGATACGTGACTAAATTGTCATTTTTAGGTAAAGAACTTCGAGGATTTTTGATTTTCAGGAGCGTAGATATGATTACCGAAGAGTTGGTCAGTAAAATTAAAAAGGTATGATGTTACAGTGATATCGTGCTTGTTACTTTTATACGCGTTGAAAATTTTATTAGGTTAGGTTTGAAATGTGAGTAGATTAAATAAAGTAGGGACTATAAGTGCTCGGGGTAAGTTGTTTAGATGCTTGTATCTTCAAAATGAAGAGATATATTACGATTTCAACTGTTTTCGATGTTTGAGTCGATCACGCTAGTCTAACCTCCATTTTAGTAGCTTCGTGACAGTGCATTGTAAATTAATTTTTATAAAAAGAGCTATTATAATATTTTAAGTATAAGATTAAAATTTTTAAATATAATAAAGTTAGTAATGAATTAGTCCATAGTGTAGAGAATAACATTATTTTTTAGTCATTTTCTTTATTTTCTCAAAATTGGAACTTTTAATCCCAGTCTTCCCTACATAATCGCTACTAAATTTTGTTTATCTTATCCATAATTTAAATATTTTAAATAAAATAAAATTATTTCTTTCTGTATTTTCTACTCATTTTCATAGTCATTTTCTGTATTTTCTCAAAATTGGAACTTTTAATCCCAGTTTCCTCTACATAATCACTACTAAATTTTAATTGTCTTATCCACAATTTAAATACTTTAAATAAAATAGAATTTCTTATAATTTATTATACGTGTATTTATTATTTGAAATTTTAGAGATCATCGATGGCTTCTTATTATCGACGCCATAATTCAATAAATCGATAGAAAAATGATTTTTAAATAAAATCAGGATAATGTATAAAGCATTATATATTATAATAGAAAATGCCATGGATTTGAGGAAAATACTACGAAATTTAAATTTCTTCTGCCGAGCTCTTCAATTTAATACTTCGCTTATAACAAGATTCGCAATACTTAATGAAGAAGTAAAACACCCTATATAATTTGAATATGAAAAATTTTACACAACCTTTTTAAGACTAATATTCATCTTTTATTCAATTCCAATTGTCATTATTGTAATCGCATTCCATGCTGAATTAATAACAATAGAAAAAGAACGCAAGAATGTTAAGGAAGCTTTGCAAGTCTCAGATCACGTGACACAAAAATACATCAAGGGCTTAGTTTATGCTCTGTTTCGCTCATGATAAAATTATTCTGTCACCGTGGCGCCACTTATGCTTATCACGTTTAATCTAGCATGACCAACAACTGAATCTCACTACAGTAGAACTCCATTTACCTGAACCCGTTGGGAGACAAACAGTTCATATAACTTAAGTTCATATAACAACAGTTCGCTGATTCTCTCGACTACCTATGATTTCTCATTCGAATAATAGAAGTTCGCCTTCAGACAAATACAATTATATTAAATCCGCTGGAATTCAGTTAATCGAATGCTAAGTAAAATATTCTTCCAACGAAATTCTACAATTTCATCGACTTGTACTAAATGACAATCATAGGCCGTGTGATTATCGATGAACTATAAAATAAGGAAAATAACGAATAAAAATAAATAAATAAAAATAAACTAACGAAAATTAACAAAAATCTATAATCCCATCATATAGAATGGAAAGGATAGAGACATCGAAATATCATCCAGAAATACCATACAAGGAAATAATGCCAAGGAAAACATCAGGATATTTAAAAGGAAAGCTTAAGAAAAAGAACAGGAACCTACTAGCGAGGTTCAGATGTAGGAATGAAGGCATAGGCAGCCACCTCTGGAGAGACAGAAGAGACAGGATATGCAGACTATGTCACAGAGAAGAGACGTATGAACACCTGGCAAAATGTGAGGAAAGAGGGGGCCTGGAGGAAAGAAGCCTAGGAGGGATTCTGGACGAAACGGGAAAAGGATTAACAAACCTAAACAGGATAATAGAAAGAAGAGACAAAAACCAAAGAGAAGAAAATAAAGGATGTAAATAGAGGAAAGACCAAAGAACCCTAAATGCAATAAAGGACAAAACAGAGTCATTAGAACTACTATAGGAATAGGCATTAAAAATAAGACAGAATGTAAGAACACCAAAAAATTAAGATAAGATAACAAAGTACATATATATGGAGCCAGAAGCGACCTGTAGCCAAAAGGCAAAGATTATGATAAACTAAACTAAACTAAAACTATAATTGCATCATGCTGCACCTGCATATTTAGATAAGAGGGTAGATTTGCAATGGCTGCTCGAGAGGACACTTTTATGAACTTAGCACGTGCACACGTGAATGGAAGATAAGCATAAATGAATTATTATTAGTCATGTATGTTGGAGGATCAAGCAGTGATCGTGGAAGGCAAGGGGCTTTGTGTATACCTCTGCGCGAGTGCAAACGTGGTCGCGCATGTAATATGCGGTGTAATCGCATTCCTATGCATGTAACAAGCCCTGTAGATACAGTGGATTGTCTAATGGACGACACATGTTAAATATTCCGCCGGTATCGATACCATAAGGAGATTACTCTGATCCACGTGGCCGAGCTGTTATCACTCCCTCGCATCCTTCGCGATTTTTCATAACTTAATGGGGCATTAACGTATTGAACGACCGAGCAACAAATATTGGAGAGTCACTTTGTAGATTAAGTGATCCATCATGCAACCACTCCTGCCCCTCTTTTGTGTATCATTTGTCCTTTTTGTTTAGTTATTTTTCCCCTATACCTGCGCGTGATAATACAACTTGTTTCATATAATGGACATTGTGTGGAAATTGAAATTCAATTTTAATTACATCACTTCGATCAATGGATGAGTCAGTTTCACGCAATCTTCCATTTATTTGATCAACTTAGCCTAATCTATATGATAAATTATACGTAATAATATAATCTAGAAAAGTATTATACTGATCTCTGAGTAAAGAAATAGCTACTCGTTTCCTTCATTTATTTCAACGTTTTCAAGAATTAAAATCGAATTAAAGGACTCCAAAGAAGATAAGTTAAGGACTTTTTCGTAAAAACTGATAGTAATCAACAGAAAGTAACGATTAAGAGATAAGGCAGAAAGATTACTATAGTCTAAAGGGAAAAATGTCTATGTTGATTGAACACATCGAGAGATATCACGACTACTATCGCCAGCGAAAAAGAATTTCTTTCTGAAAGTTCGCGAAAGGTATGAGTGATAAGGGGCACAATAGTCGATGTCGTTTCTGTTAGGCGACTGTGTATCTTTTCAACGCGTATAGAAGTGTCCTACACACATGAAACGCAATAGTGAGCTTGAGAACGTCATATCGATGACGCTTCGAGGCTGTTCGCGTTTGATCGAACACGAAACAGTGTACTACCTAACTTGAAAAAGATCTCTGCAAGAGAAAAAGACTTTTTCGCTTTATACATTTTTACGTAATCCCTTCTTTGAATACGTCTGAATGCTTTTACGCTGAATGCGTTTGAACGTAGTTACATATACGACAAAAATTCTTTTGTCAAGCCCAGTTTGCAATTGTTCATTGCTGTCCGACGAACGGGAACCCAGGAATATTTCGATAAGAAGTAAGAAATAATAACAAAGTACGAGATTATTCGTTAAAAGGAAATTTTATTATACAAATGCATAGTTGTTTGAATCATTCGAATTCGTCATTGTTCGAAATTTATCGCTGTTGTCGTCTTTTCTTTGCTTTCATTTGTACCCTACGATTTTTCCCTAATCTCTGCTTTGATTTCCCTTCCTTGTTCTTCGCATCTTTCCCTCGTTTGGTAGGTTTCTTGTATTCTGATACATCGGCAGAACTTGTCCTTGTATTTTTCTTGCTACCACGTTTCTTACCACCAAAACCATATTTAGCATCTCTCATTTTACGTTTCGCTGCTGTCTTCTGATCTGTTTTATTTTCAGACTTCTTTTTGTCGTTTAGGAAATCAAGATCTTGCCTTGCACCTTTACGATACTTCTTCACTTCTTCTAGTAATTTTCTCTTTTCTGCGTGCCTCTTCAAAGTTGCTTCTACTTGCATCTGCTTTCCTACTTTCTTTTGTTGTCTAAGTTGTCTGACCTTTTCCGATCTTTGCGCTATCGTTTGCTTCTTCAATAAATTTTCTCTTACTTTCTGCATATGTGTATCTGATTTAGCCATTTCAGCAAAATAATCTTCTGGCCTGATTGTTGGAATATCAAGCTTTTTCAAACGGATCATAGCATCCATAACAGCACCTTGCGCCTGTCTGTGAAACATTGTTTCTCTGCGAAAATCATTCAAAACAGGATCATCTGCTGGATTATATTGAGGTAAATTTTTATTTCCCTTCAACTGATTTGCACGTCTTACTTCCTGATCTTGCATTTGTAATGCCAACTCTGGTGCTAAAGGTGCCAGTGCATTAACCATATCTAATCTTTCAATCCATGATAAATTTAATTTAATTTTCTGTAGCTTTTTTTTCATAAGATTCTAAAAATAACACCGCTAATAGTTTTTCTGCTATTTTTTTGGAATATAAAATCACAATGTTTATAAAATTATTATATCATAATACTTACGACGAAATTTTTGTGTACTTTTTTCTTTTCTTCTACTACATTAAGACCAGGTTTCAGTAAACCTTTCGCATAAGCTTCTCGTAACTGTACACGGAAAAAAAAGAGTATAGGTTAGAAAAGAATCATTTTAGATATTTCGAAATGTAAGCAATATTTACTTCTTCATCTGATGAATTGTACTCCAAAGCGGACTCGGAAGATGCTGGTGTTTCCGCATTATTTTTAGTAGCTTCCTTCACTTCCATTTTTTATATTAAATTAACAAAACGTGCATATTCAGAATTACCACAGTAAACAGTACATTCCACTCACATTTACCGCCATCTATCAGAAACGCGGGCGCATGTATTAAACATGATGCTTAAATGATAAGCAAGCTCTTCTAAACAGTTTTTGAATACAATTCAAATAAAACATTAAAAATTATTGTTTATTCTACTTCAAACAATTCTTCTTATGCATATACTGAAAATTGTAAATCGTAACTACCTTTCTATATTGTGAACATTATTTTAGCATCATAATATGTTATGCTAATACTGTAAACTTTATTATAAACAATTCTCTTATAGTATTGTGTATTTCAAGTATTGTATATGTCATTTATCGTTCAATAAGATGGATGCATGTTATTTTTAATTAATCATTGCTCTTCAATCGCACGTTTTTCATTAAGGATTAATTTTTGTAACAGTAAAGAAAAGCAAATACACGTGTGGTATAAAAAATAAAACTAGTATCTAATCTTCAAATCGTTGAAAAATCCAGAATACGATAAACAAGGTGCGGACCAATCGTATAGCAATTTCACTTTAGACTGTACTCTTCGCTTTGTAGAAATTCCGTGAAGCTCGTGTCTGATATATATTACACTCTATGCCAGCATTTTTTGTCACAGCTGGCTAACGACAGCGAAACGTCATGACGGATAGTGATAAGAAACCGATGTCACGTTTATTGATGCTCGCCAACAAATTTAACTGCTTCTACCTGTCAGGTACGTAAAATCGTTTAACTTATGCATCTCTTGTTTCTCTATCTACCTAGATTATCCGATTTTATAATAATTAGTTCATAGAAATGCGTGGCTTTTCATCTTGTCTACTAAGATATTGATTTCAAGTCTGTTGTGTATTCTTTCACGTATTTTTAGCAAATTAATAAGAACTACGTTTATTTTCTTCAAAAACATAAATAATTTTCGTATAATCCTGCATATCGATCCTTCTCTTCGTTATATACACGATCTTCACTATTTTTCTGATAATAAATATTTTGAGTAGATTGTTGCTATATGTATATTTACTAAAGTAGATATGAAGGATGTATACTATGCCGCTATACGAGTTAATGTATGTAATCTGTTTTTTATGTCACTTAAATACAGCTGTATAAACAAAATGTTCATTTAATGAACAATTTTATTTTTTTCAGGTTTAAGATAAATTTAATATGGATTAATGTTAGTGTATTATATTTTTGTATTAATGAAAACATATAATTTGTTAATTTTGTATATATTTATATACATATATATATATTTTTCTTCTTTTCTCTGTATTATTTGTATTGTATATTTTATGATATGAATATGTTTTAAACATATTTACAATTTTATGCTACAGTGTAACTAGTTCAATGACAGAAACAATATTGTTAAATTTCCAATATTCCTTAGGTTTTCATGCAGGTGAATGCAGAGCCTTTTTTGTTGATGGACAACAAGTTGGCCTTGTGCGTCCTGATATAATGAAAGAATTATTGAAATACCCACAGGTAATTTTTGTTTTGAATTGCATACTAATGACAAATTCATAGAATTTTAATACATGTATATTAAATATCTTATAAAGGTATTTCAAGTACATCCTGAGTATGTACAATTAAATCCAGCATTTAGAGACTATGCAGAAAGAAGTGCTAGGGTTGAAGAAGTTCTGAGAGAATTACGTGCAGATGGAAAATTGGTAACCCTAAGGGGTTGGAGGGAGGAATGTTATGAAGTACGTGCACAATTTAATACCCCACCATTATTTAAGATGGATCGGTCTGCTACATGTATGTAGTCCAAATATAACTCTTTTAACATTTGTAGTTACTCAAAAGGTATTATTGTCTGTTATTCAATTTATAGGCCTATTTGGAATTCGCAAATATGGAGTAGATATTAATGGATATGTTATGGATCCTGTGAAAGGTTTATCAATATGGTTACAAAAACGTAGCCCAAATAAACAGACTTGGCCTGGATATTGGGATAACATGGTGAGTGGTGGATTAAGTGTTGGTTATGGTATTAATGAAACTGCTATAAAAGAGGCCGGAGAAGAAGCCAGTATTCCCAATAATCTTATTGCAAATCTGAAGAGTGCTGGTTGTGTATCTTTGTTTTTTGAAAGTGAAAGAGGGCTGTTTCCCAACACAGAATTTGTGTATGATCTTGAATTACCACCAGATTTTATACCAAGCAACAATGATGGAGAAGTAGAAACATTTGAATTGCTTCCAGTTAATGAATGCTTAGAAAGGATAATGTCTCCATATTTTAAAACTACATCAGCACCAGTTGCTCTTGACTTTTTAATTAGACACGGATATATCACTGCGGAAAATGGCAAGTATAGAAAAGCTTTGTACAACTAAAACTTCTTATAGTATAAAAACTTATTAAATTAAAATTAAATGCGTTCTTTCTCTCTGTTATAGAGCCTAATTTTATAGAAATTGTGGAATTGCTTCATATACCTCTGCAGACCATTTACAATCAACCACCAAAAAAGTGTAAATTAGCTGCAAATGGTGAGGCAATTGGAATGTTAGAAAGAATTTAAGTTTAACTAGTCCTTAATTTAAATCGCGTTTAAAATTAATTGAATCGAAAGCAGTTGGTTTTTTTTGCGTTTTTCTTGTATTTGATCAATTCTTTTCAGATTTTATAGTAAGAAAAAAAAAAAATGGTGCAGTTTTATATGTGTAAGGTTTGCAGAATATTTATAAGTCACTAAATCATAGTTCAAATATTCCATGAATTGATTTAAAGAATTTTTATAAAATTTAAACTAATTTTCATTTTCATGAATATTAAAGAAAAGAAATACGTAATTTTCAATAGTTATATTGATCATAACATTTTTACTCATAGATATAATTCTTTTTGTTATATCTCGAGTAGTTTTTATATAATAACGATGAAAGTATCAGGTAAATACAATTTTTTGATGACTCTTATAGAAAGGACATTTCGAAAAGTAAATGTAGCGATTATTAACTTAGTAAGATAAAAAAAAAGTATATTTTAATTTGTGGGCCTGTGAGTTTATTGACATTTAATAACTTTGTAAAATTAGCACAATACATAGAGATAATTTATGAAATGATTTTTAACGATTTCAAGCAACATCGTTATTTAAAAATCACATTGTATCTTCCTCTGATTTCTACCAATCATCGAACTGAATTTTTGCACAATAACGAAAAAAGAAGTTTTCGCCGATTGTACGAGTAATATCCGAACGTGAGGACTTTTGATATACATCGATGTTAAATTAAAAGTATTATTCATTCAGCATTCCAGAGCATAGATTAAGACTTCAGTTTCTAAGCGATAAAAGAGAAAAAATCGAAAGAGTAGCAATAGTTTTTTCTAATGTTTGTATTCGAACTTTTGTACTACAACTTGTACACCCTAACAACAAGTGTGCATAAAGTACCAATGCAGTAATATCCTAATATTGTGCATAGGATTAAGATGGAACTCATTCACAGTATTATAAAAGTGAATGCACAGTATACTGTTTGATATGTTTAAAGTAAACAAAAAGAAAAAAAAGAAAAACAAATTTATAGACGAATTATGTTGACATATGTGTTCTATACTCCAGCTATGCTACCAACAAGAAATGCTTAAGACTCAGCATTTTCAATTGAACAACTTTCTTAAGAAGGGGAACAAAAGTGTTCGTATATTGTTTATTGTATGTAACGTAGGTAGATTTTTTAATTGAAAACAATGATTGGTACCAAGGTTCTGATCAAGTGATATTATTAGATTGTGAAAATAATGATTGTATAAATGGCAAACGCAAACTGAAAGCATCACTTTTCTGTTAGTTTTCAATTTAATATTTATTGTTTATTATATTAATTTGGTGTTTGTAATTGATTTCTCCATGTTCTGTTCGTTCAATGTGCAGAGTATATCTCTTTTTTTTTTTTTTTTATTTGAAAATAGATTTAAATTATTAAGTATTTTCGTAAGATATTATATGTAAACGATGCTTTAAACTACTTGCATTGCGTATGCCTTTAAGTTAAGAGACTTTTTTATACTAAACTAGTTTCTACAAAATGGAGAGTCATTAGGTGTGTTGAATTCGAGATATAAATTGTTATTGTGGATTCTACATTACAATTACTATAACTGCGTTTATTGATAAGTATTCTGACCGTTTTTAAGGGATTTTTCTACCGAGACTAGAATATCCATTGTGATGTATTACATTAATGTATTCGCTTCTTTCCGTTGCTTTTATTTCAAGTATAAGTGACATCCGAGCAGCTTAAACATACTCTAACTTTAATTTAGTCCTTATTTGAACTAATCTAACGTATTTAAGTAAGTTGGCTATTTTTTATAATCGTATACTAGTCATATTCGTCATCGCCTTATTATTTCTTAACTTTAATCTGGTCATGAAATTTAGTATCTACGATTATGTTTGTTTTTAAGTGGAACTAACATTTTTGTGATAGAAATGAGTACGGCTGGCCATACTGTTTAATGCATGAATCAATATTTGTCAATGAATAAATTTAATCAAATTTACATCATCGTTTCTATCAATGTCACCTAGTTGGCCATTGTTATATTTTTCTTTATTTTATTTTCTTTGTGGATTTAACATGCTTAGCAAATAAATATTGTGCTTTAAATTTTTCTTTCTTATTTTTCACAATCATTAATGAAACTAAAATGTAAGGCGAAACTTCTATAATCATTTTCATTCGTTACATAAACGTTGTACTTAATTCTCATAGTCCTTTATACATATTGAATTACTATGAACCCTCTGTTATAAGGTATAATCATGTAACAATCATTAAAACAAAAAAAAAAAAAAGAGATTCAGTTGCAATGACTCATAAACTCAATAAATAAATTTCAAATGCTTTATATTTTATCATTCTACCCTCTTTATATCCCAATACTAAACTAATTTCAACAAAACTATACTATAATGAGTCCATAAAATACACGAGAACAAGTCATACATTTTTATTTTAGAAAATAACTTTAGCTTTTAAGAAGAAATTAACATGTAATTCTTGGAATAATTAAAAAAAAGCCATTTTTTTGTTTAGAATATTTCAGACTTTAAATTCGATTCTTTTGCATTTTTAATAGTGCTACATGAAATAACTACTGGCATAATTAACATATGAAAGATTTTGGTTGATGGAAAATTTATATTTTGAAAATCTAGACAGTAAAAATATTTTCTGTCTCGACAGCAATAATAAATAGCCCGGTCAAACAAGTGGGGATGCACGAAAAAAAAAAAAAAAAAAAAAAAAAAAAAAAAGAAAAAAAATGTACTAGAAGCTTGGTGGGGAGGCTCGACATTGTCAGAAGAAACAAAAATCGACCAAATCACTTCCCTTTTGAACATGATTGGGGAAGCAGTTCCGTGACTATTCTCTACTACTCGTACTTCCTGTTGAAGTTCAGCGTTATTTTCAAATTTTGCATTTGTTTTCAATTAGAATTACTTTTAGTCTCGGCGAGCAGATCGAACGAAATAAATACGTTGTGCAAAGTGTTACCTTGTTTATCAGGTAAAGAAATAGTATAGAGTAAAGAAATAGTAGAATTCATCAACTTTTTTTTTTGGCAAATAGTAATATTTGCAAACATTAATTTTCTTTATTCATTATGATTGTAAATTTTTGGCAACAAAGAGCATCAAAGTTGCGTCATATTGTGAAACTTACCATTTTCGTTTTTAGTTATCCTTTGTAGGATTTAAATTTCTCTAATTTAAACATTTGCCAAAAATAAAAATTTTTAAATAAATTAAAAAATTTGTATATTTAAAAAATAAATTATTTTTTTTCTTATATAAATTTTTTTTTATTTTAGTACAATTTTTTTATATTTTTTGAATTTTGTGTAGCATATAAAAAAAAGTATGACATTATTAATGAAAATTTTTCAATTATTAATGTATTATGTTTAAATTATCTTATTTGTACCTTTTTTTAAAAATTCATTTACGTTCTTTTCTATTTCATAGTAGATTTTTGACTATGGATACTACGAAGTTTTCACTGAAACAGTCTACATCTCCTTTAACAGCCTCGGAAATTTCATCAAGATTTGAATATTTCATACATGCAGCGATAGGTATGTAATTCTCTTATTTCATATATTATATTTCTATATTATTCTATATCTTCTATTATCATTTATAAATCACGCAATATAGTATCATTTAACTATATTTCAAAAATACATTACGAATAGATTCGAAAGGAAGATATATTTATCATTAAATAAGTATTTTTTCCTGATATGATGAGTAAGAAGTTCAGTACTTGGTAACGGATCGACAGATATATTCACTAATGGCGAAACTGTTAAAATGAAATTTTCTTTTTACTGACCTTTAAAATCGATATATAAAAATAATTGAAAGCTGCAAAATAGTTGAATATTGTGGCACAGAGTAATTACTCGACGATTTGTCCACAATATATTTAAACTGAACACATTTTTTCTATTATTTTTTACATTAAACACCACTTCGAACGAATTATAACTACAAATCGCGACGACCGACCATTAACTGCCGAAGATTTGAAATTTTCTCGTTAAAAAGTTAAAATATCGATATGATAACGTTTTATTTCGAGTTTAGTTCCTTCGATATTGAATTAGCATCGCGCATGCGCGTTTCGGCTTGACAAATGGTTCCGTAGTGTATTGTGCTTGTGCTGTTCGTACGTTTTAAATAATAATTCTAGATTTAAAAAGAAGAAAAAAATGTCGGTATCGATGGGCAAAAGAATTTTTTCGCATTTTTCTAGAATTAATTTAAAACGATGTTCGATGCAAATAAGAATCGGTAGGTTTAGTTCTGTCGCGATTAACAACTCTTCCAACCTAGAAGAAAATGCGAAAAGTGATATACCGATTTCCGAACCTGGCAAAATTTCTGCCGCAGTTTTGAAGAAATTCTCCGATCCGTTTGTTTTAGAAAATCTTGATTCTCCCAAAATATTGCAAGAAAATGAAGTAAGTTCAATATATAAAGATTAATGATTTTAAAATACTTGTATGGTACATTTTCATATACTTCCAATTCTTTTCTTTTTAATAATTAAATTCATTATTTAAATATGTGATATTTTGAACTAAATAATATTTTCTACATTTGATACATAGTCGATGTTGCTTGTATCATTGACAACAAGGAATTTTATATGTAAAATGGTAAATGCAAATAACGTAGTACTTTATTTTTAATGCAGTTTTAAGAAAGGTGATTTTGGTGACGTAATGTAAAAGAACAAACAGTTTTTACATACTTCCTTTTTTTAATGGAATTAAATAAGTATTTTGCATTTACGCATAATTTATAAAACACTAAAAATGTTTTGTCGCAATTAATGAAAACGTTATGTCATATTAATATATTTAACTATATAATAAGGACAATGTTCTTTTGCAATAAATAAGTATTATTTTATAGTATAGTTTTTGATTATAGATACAGTGATATCAGATTTATATAATCTTGCAGTAAATTAAATATTAACCTTTTTCATAAAATTTGATTAGTTAATAAGCTGAAGTAATTTAGATTTCAATTTAATTTTTTTAGAAGTTATTACTACAATAAAAGGGATTATTCAATATTGTATTCTGTGTATTTTATTTAAATAATTTATCACTAGATTCTTTTAAAATAATTTTTTTTGTAATTACAAGTGAGGTTTTTGTATCTTAATTAGTCAAAGGGAAATGTTTATATCATTTTGGATTGGCAGGTTCTTGTAGATGTTCATTATTGTGCTTTAAATGCATCAGATGCATTATTGGCAAGAAATTTATATACATTTGAACCAACTTTACCCAAGATTCTTGGTTATGAATTTGTTGGAAAGTTGATTCAAGTTGGGAAAGAGGCAGAGAAACAAGGATATAAAATAGGAGATAAAATTGTTGCTCTCAACAAAGAATGTTATGGAGGTTTAGCCAAACAGTGTATAGCAGCAGTTGATGTAAGAGAGTTTCTTTGAATTAATGACAAATAGTGTATGAATTCTACAATAAAACAAATTTCTAGGATATCTGGAGAGTACCATCCGGAGTAAAATCTGTTCATGCAGTGAGTTTACTTGATAATTATATTACTGCTTTACTTGCATTAGAAAGAGCAACTAACATTCAAGAAGAAGATATGATTTTAATTAATGTGGGCATAAGTGGCATTGGTTTAGCTGCAGTCGATCTTGCTACAAATGTATTTCAAGCTGAGGTTAAATTCTAATAGTTAAATTTTACAAATATAGACAGTAATAGATAGATATTTTTCATTACAAATAGATTGCTGTTTGCGTTAATTATTTATTCAGGTAATTAGTGTTTGTGCTACTGAGGATGTTGCAGCTCTTGCTCGAGAAAAAGGTGTGCTTGCATCCTTCAAATACAAAGATCGTAAATTATTGAAACAAATTGAGGAAATAGCTGCAGAGAAAAATATTAAAGAAATCTTTAAAGATGCTGATGGTGAATATTTTAAGAAAGTGTTAAGGTGGTAAGTTTAATGAGAGTGTAGTTTGAGGTTTCATTTAATTTGAATTCCAATTCATTCTGTGTCGTATTTGTAGTTTCACTGATATTTATAAAAGTGAAGTAACTATAAAAGATTTGTTACGTGATGATAATTTTGCTGTTGTACTACATCATCTATCTCGTGAAGGTATAATTAGAAATTGCAGTGTTATTATAATTAAGTAACTGATTTATTTATTGTCACTCTGTGATGTAAAGGAAGGGTAATAATTGCTGGTACAGCTGTGACTATGACAAAGAAAGATTCCGAAAAATCAAAGAATGGCTTTAGGATTAGTGGATTTAATTTGGCAGAATATAAGAAGACGAAGCCTGAATCATATCGGTACAATAGTTTTAGACTAGAATGTCCTATAAATTTTGTTTTCTAACATTGTTACAATTTGTGACTTATGTTGTTCAATTTTCATTGTAAATTATAATCAGTTGATACAGGAATCGTATTTTATTTGTGAAGAAAGAATTAGTAACCCTTTGCACTTGAGAGATGCCTTTTAGTTGCCATTTTTCTGGATGTATTGACTCGAATCTTAAGTGAAAGTTCATTAATAATTGTATTTTTATTTAAAATAATAAAAGATAATACTCAAATATATGATTCTTTTCTATGTTACTGTAAAAAAACCTCATTGATTTTATAATAAAATATTCCAAACTACTTTGCCATATAAAAAAAAAATCTTCCAGTGCAAAGGGTTAACAAAATTTATACAATATAAATTTATAGGATATAATATGTAGTAACTTTAAAGCATTATAAAACTGCAGACTTTAATTTCTATATTTTGTAATTAGTCAAGCTGGAGATGATGTTTTACAATTTATTGAAGATGGTCTGATTGATCCGACTATTGCATTAACTGTTGGATTATCAGAAATTAATGATGCTCTGGAATTTATTTTTGAAAATAAATCTCCAGGAAAAGTGAGTTTAAAATATTCAGTAATTTAATTAGTTACTATGATTATTGTTTCCTCAATAGATATACATGCAGATAACTTACAAAGTTATTAATTTCACAGGTAATTATTGATTTAAAAGATAGATAGACTAAGCTTAAAGGAATGAAATGTTGAAAGATTCAAAGTTTATATTAGTATAAATAACGCCCTATAATAAGAAATGGGTAAAAATACCATCATAATATACCAAACAAATGCAAATATTGTAAAATAAAGCGCAATATACATTTAAGATTTAATTAAGTTTTTTTAATAAATTAATAAACGTTAAGTGAAAATGAAATCAACTGTGTAGTCTGTACAATATTTTTAATAAACTTTTTCTATTCTGTTATGACAGCGAATTAGGAGTAACACTTCTTCCATTCGTTTCTCAAAATGTGTATTCCTCCAAATTTAATTACAATCCAGTTTTCATTCCCATCATTCTTTGCTATAGTCAATGTTCTCTCGTTCAATACGTTTATACGCTTGTCTGTGACGACAGAAAATTCTACGCATACGATTGTTGTTAGGTAGCCATGCCATACTAACTCGGTCGCGGTCATTATCGGTTGCTCAACGCCCCTTTATCGAAACTGGAGCATTTTGTTGCCGTGCTACCGACGAAAGGAAGCCCGAGTAAAAGTCCTGAGAACGGTCCTTCGTGAAATCGTCGATTATAAATATGTTCCCTCTAATGGAAGCGAAGAATTTTGTTGCGTTCTTCTGTCAGCTCGCTTGGTACAGGCAAAGAAAAGTGACTGTGCTCCTGTAACACACGTGGTAGGGTGAAACACGCACTTCGATCTTAAATTATGAGTCCATAATCGGTGCTCGGAAAATAATAATCCACGATTGGTAGAAAATTCTTTGATCTTTTTGTTCTGGTATATTTAACGCGAAAACGAAAATGTTAAGTATATTGAAAATCAGGTATAAGAACGAAAATCGTTATATGAATATTTCTATTTGGATAAATAATTAGGAAATCGCGAATAGCGAGGAAACTAGGTCGACTATCTGAAATCTAGGTATGCTATTCGAAAGGACTGTCCTTCCTTTCCGATTTCGTTCACCACAGGGGTCGAACGATGACAGGGTTGTCGAACGAGTTGATTAATTGATAACATGATTCAGGCTCCTAAAGTGGTATGGGTGCTCCAGATTGCGTGAACTAGGTGACCCAATACAGTCACCCCCGCAAGCGAAGTGCTTGCAAAATTATTTCACTTAGCCAGGCTGTGGAAGGACTCAGAAAAATTTCTTGAAAACTGTTACTTACGTATTACACGTTTAACTTCATCTCGTAAAATTTTTAGAGACATAAAGTAATACAATAAATTTTTCTGTTAATAGATAAAAGGAAGTTGTTTTATCAGAAATTCTTGACCAAGAAGTGTATCATAAAGACTTAGTAAAAGATTAATATATAGGGTGTTTGAAAAAACATGTAAGTTTTTAGGGATTATTATTATTTAAGAAAAATAAAAACTATTTAATCTAAAATATAATTTTATATCTATTTCTATTAATTTATTTTCCTATAGGAAATACTACAATGAAATTATAAGATGTATATAATATATGTTGAAAGGAGAATTAAATGAATGCTATGTAAGCATATCAAAGCGTTTTCATGAAAGAAGAAATAGAATTTTATATTTTATTATCCTATTCATCTTATGTTAGTATAATTTTTGGTTGTCGTATGATATTTTCTTAAAATTCCATTTTATTACAATTTTATATTAATTAAGTAGCTTTTTAATTTAATTTTGAACATTCTATGTACTAGGAAGAACATAAACGTATAACAACTACTAATGTTTAATTTGCTATATCATAAGTCAGAATTGTAAGTCAAAGGGGTTGATTTTCCTATTCGTTGAACGTTAAGAATCAATATCCCTCCTGCAAGTAATTTCTTCCATTAAATGTAAAATATGAGATCACACGTTCACATTTGTCTTTCATCTGACGCAGTTTTTCGTCGTCCCTCTTTCACAATTATCCCATACTTCACCCAGATTCGATGGCCATTGTTGCTATTAGCCAATCTTTATTGGCTCGCGACCATAACCAAGTCGATTTGTGGCCACCTTGGAAATTAATTCTCTTCGAGAAAAATGTCTCGTATCTTGCCATAATACAAAGGCGAATTAGAACGCTCTGATAATCATAAATCACGCAGAATCGTAACAAGGTTCAGGGTGACGGTTCGTGGATAATTGCGTGGGTGAGGCGCAATCTGAAAACTCGGTCGTCTAATGGCGCTGCTATCGCGAAATCCTTATGCAAATGGCGCTGCTTTCTCTGGAAACCTTATGGCGCCGATCTGGCCGAAGAAAAGTGACAAACATCGCCTTTATTCGAGTCTTAGTTACGATTTATGCTTCTCCGAAGCATTTGATTTCGCTTTCTTTTCATTCTCAAAGCAAAATTTCGTCATTGATTTTTATAGCGTTTTTGATTTGCTCTTTTCTCTTGTCGAGATACTTTGTTCATTACATCTATGGAGTTTATTGTAGTCTATTAATTAAATTATAATTAGGTTATTATTGGTTGGTTTAAAAGCCAAGTAGTTGGAATCGCATTTTTAATTAAAATTATTTTTTATTATATCAAATCAGTATTAACGTCAATTAGCACTATATAGTTTATTATGATAGGCTTCATGATAAAGCGTAAGCGTTTATATTTAATAAAATATCATTTAATTGCTATAGACATTTTGGAAACTTCGTTACAATATTTTTATAAATATCGTAAACCGAAAATCATGTTTCATTTTCGACTTTTTATTTATCATTAATTTAATCACTTTTATAAATTGCAATCGTATTTCGTACAAAGGAGACATCCTGTAGTATTTAAATGTAAAGTAAACTCTATAAAGAAGAAATACTGTGCTGTTTAAATATTATAGACAGCTTTAAAACAACTTGATCGCGTATATAAAAGGTACTTAACTTCGCATGTCCACAGACTCTTTTCTCGAAACTCGTTCTTGGCACTAATGCTCTTCTTACATTCAACAGTACAATTATATCACGTTCTGTGCCAAAAACTCTGTTGGAAACTGCAAGATTAATCGCTCGATAGGTCTCCTGTGTTACGCCGCTTGTCCGAGCGTGCAGATACGCGATCTTTCAATTAACCCGACGTTGGAAAGAGGATCCGCGGACGATCTGCTTGCCAGATGTCAGAGGAGGAGAAATAAAGGTTCTCGGGTAGATCGAAAGGACAGGTTACATAATAAAACACATCGAGCGCAAAAAGTCACGGTTTCTCGGTACTTTCGCGTCGGGTACTCGATTTTCTTCCGTTCCTTTTTTCACTCCCCCTTGTAGTGACTCAACGCGTTCCAGAACGCGTCTCTCGACGCGCATGCCCTCCGAAATTCCCGCTTATCCCCGCGTGATCGCGAGATGGCGCAACCGGGCGCCGAAAATGGCGCCGGCGCAGTGATCTCTGACGTAATTCGGCCCGTTGACCGGCACATTCGGTCCCTATCCGATCGAACGGACATCGATACGTCGATTTTTCGCGATGCACAACGCGTTACATTGAAACGTTCCGGCGTGATTAATTGGCTCGGAGGGAGGATTAATTTTAGGTTAGGACTTTTGTGAAAGGCATGATTTCAGGATGATAAATCGCGAATTTAATGCAGTTTGCTTGGACTGGAAATTTACGTTCTATGCAGCTCTGTTCGCGACTCTGGAGAGGAAATTAATGGGTTCGCGATGTATGAAGTAGCGAAGTATAGGAAGAGGCAAGTTACGTTGGCCAACTCTCTCTCTTAGGTAACGCGCTTTGGATCTGTTTCAGTAATTGTCAAATTTATTTAGTGATTTATGAGATCATTGACAACTAACGCAGTTCGTGATTTTCCCCTTCTAAAATTACGATCTGCGTCTTAGTAGACTCTTTTTTGTTATTTGGAGGTTATGTAGGAAGAATACGATGCCATCATTTATATCATTGACTTTTTGATGTTTATATTTCAATATAGCATAACAGAGAAGAGTTGGTGAGGATTTATACATAATGCACGAAGTTTTGTAAGATGTTAAATAAAGTTCTTGTAGAAGACTAAATGAATACACATACACGATAGACCCCACACAGTGCAATATATATATGAATTTGATCTCGTTACTAATTCCGAAATTAAAAGGATCTCGATAACCCAGATCCAACTTAGCCTACCTTTAATCTCCTTTCACTATATTTCATCAAAGTCGTCAGGCAAATGAAGTCGTTGGAACTCGTTTCTGTCGTCCTGGGATGGCCTTTCCACGAATCAAGGGAATTAATCCGGCCAAGATAGACGACGATCGTTAGATCGATCGCGGATCTCGTCAGGCTTGCAAAACAGGAACGAGATCCGCTGGATCCGAGAAATGGAGGCAAGTATACGTGGCGCGAAACGAGTGGGAGAGCCTTACGACAGTCACATATCCGCGTGGCAGTTACGCGGCATTTGTCGCTCTGTCTGCGAGAACGATAAAAGGAAATGGCCTCTGGTATCGCGTATCTGTACAATCACTCTTGAGAGCACGGTTCACCTAGATATGCTAATATGATTAGAAAAGAGCAAGGGACATTTGCAAGGCTTTTCTTCCGAGCCGACCGGTAAATTGCTCGCCCCTGTGACACTATAGGTTACACGTGCGCCATTGCGTTTTGCGTTCGATTATTTCCTATTAGTCGAAATTATAGATCTCTGGATACGCGAGCACGCACTTTCCTATTCGTGCCTTTTTTTATCGAATATTTTTCATTTTTTAATTCTACATTTTAGTTTCTTTTCTGACTTTATGCTTATACACATGCATATATATTCCATTTCTTTAGCTTTAGCTTATTATATTATTATGTTATATTATTTAGTTAATTTAGATATATTTTTATGCTGATGAGATCGTATATTTAATTATATTTTGAAATTTTTATTTTTTGAAGAATTGGTATGAACATAGATTTAAGGAAATTTTCTGAGTTAATTTTCTAGTTTTATTTGGTGTATTTTAGTCAAGGAACCTAGGGATTTAATGTAGCTTTGTAGAATGTAGAGTCTCGAAATTCTATAATGATCTTTTGAAAATGTAATTTGAAGACGATTAATAAGTGATTTAGATGGAATAACTGATTGTAGC